AAGGACACTCTGGGGGGTGTGGCTATGTCAGTTACCTTGGTGGTGGTGATGTCACAGGTGTTTGCATATGTATATACTCATCAAACTGTACACATCAAATAAGGGGAGTTCTTCGTGTATCAGTGACACCTCGATAAAGCTGTTTATTAAACAGTTGAAAAGGTTTGTCCGGGAAAGCACATAGAAGGGAAGGAGAGAGCAGGCTACGTGCTGCTGGTGGGGCAGGTGGGGAGCCAGGCAGCCTCCAGGCAGACCTGCTATGAGCACCACACGTCATGAGAGGCTGCAAGCACCTGAGTGGAGCGTCCCAAGGCCAGACTGCACTGACAGGTCCCTGTAGTGGTACAAGTGGATCACTGAGGGAGTGAGCCAGGTTCATTGCAGCTATTACAGTACTGGCTCTTTTAAAAGTATCAGCAGAGAGCCTTTTCATCTCTGTCAGGATGTCCCACATCGTCATTTGTAATTTATCATCACAGTTTACCTATAGCTTAAGAGCCATCCCCCTTTCCTTGTAGTCACTGTTAGATCAAGATGTTGTGTTTGATTTATTTGTCTTTTCCCCATCGGACCTTATGTGAGATGAGCTCTACTTCACAGCAGGGAGGAAAGTAACCAGAGAAAGAAGAAAAGGTGGGAGCTAAGACCCTTCTGACCGAGACGGGGAGATGGCATCTGACTCACCCTGCTGGTGTGCACGTGAGAGTCCTTGGCCACGCGCTGGAATGCCTTATGACAATGTGAAATATTTTTAAAAAGTATTTTTTTCTCTTATCAAATGATAATCAAACAATATGTAATGTCCCTTAAATAAGTGACTAGCACAGCATACAATTTTAGCAAATGTGTCTGCGCGACTAGCCTTCGAAAAAGTTAGGGGAAATTTTCTATTCGTTTATTCTGATCAGGGTGACTGTCTGAAAAGAACCAAGGAACAGGAGTTATCGGGAGGCGGGAGTCCCTCTGGTGACAGCACACTTTGCTCAGTTTCTTTAAGAAAATGTTCTTCCTTCTAGGGCTATAGAGATGTTTCTTAAACCAATGGCAGTGTTGTTGGGGAGCATGTAGCTCAGCGGCAGAGCAGGTGCTTAGCACACATGAGGTCCTGGGTTCAATCCCCAGTCCCTCCATTAAAATACATAAATAAACCCAATTACCTCTGCCCCACCTCCCCCCAAAAATGAAAAATCAAAGGTAGCGTTGTTATTTATGGGAGTGTCAATGAAGACTTTAAAAACTAGGAGAAGGAAATGTCTAATGGCCTGAAGCAACTGAAATAATCAAATCATTTTCACCAATCCTCCTACATGCAATTCTTTGTTCTAAAACCAAATTTATATTTTCTCCCTTTCTTCAGAAACATTTGTACCAAAAAGATAAATTGTTTACAAAGAATAATTTACCACAAGTTTCCATTTAGCAGATATATGTATCTGTGCGTGTGGAAGGACAGTTTTTTTTTCCCCTGAAAGAGCATATTTCCTAGGCAAAATATTCTAATAAAAGAATAATTACTAAAAGTAGATCTTTTGAACTAATGTTATCAAATTGTCTTTATGAATTAATGTTGCATCAAAGTCGTATGTAGTATGCCAATTTAGCTCTCCAAACTTAACAGCAATATTTCCTCTCTCTGAGGAGACGTTAGTTGAAATTTACACACATGTAATCTGCCTATAGCAACGTTATTCTTAATTGGGATGCTGATAATTGAGGGGAAACTGAACTGGTTCACAGAGGATTCGCCCTCATTGAGGGCTGTTACAAACCTTTTTTATTATTGTTTGATAAGAGAGAAAATTAATATTTTTTATATTTCACATTGTCATAAGACCTTCCAACATGTGCTTTAAGAGTCACGTTTACGATGAACTTTTTTTAAATAAACCATCGGTCCAATTTCCTGTTAACAAGCAGAGTCCCAAGTCCCCCCCCCCACCAAATAACTTCTGTCATCTTGTTTTGAGTGAATATTCTGCATCAGAGAGAAACCATCAAGTACAGGTGTCTTGGATTGACACTGCCTACACACACACTGAGAGTATGACTGAGAGCAGGTTTTCAGAAAGGAAGCAGGAGAGCAAGGAGCATCTCCCTGGGGAAGGGAGTAGCACTAAGAAACAGCTCCAGAGGGAGGGGTCGGCAGGTCGGGCAAGCTGATTACAGCACGAGCAAGTCTGCATTAGGTCCCCCTGCCAGTGCCTTGTGTCGTCCTCACAACCATCCTGAGAAGTAGAAATTGTCCTCCTTTTGTAATGGAGTAAAGGATGCTATGAAACATCAAGGAACGTGCCCAAGTTCACACAGGTGGGGGAGTCAGACTTGAAACCCAGGAAGTGATCCCTAACCCCACCTTTACTCTGCTAGATCCCAGGTGTGAAAGGCAAGCTTCCAGGTTTAGTGTGACTAGGACCCGCCTTACTTAAACATCATACCCAGAATGTGGCTTGATGTTCCCACCGTTTATAAAAAGCCCAGCACTGCGGTGCCTCAGGACAGCAGGACACCTTCTCCTCACTGCGTGTCCTCTGACCATTCACCTGTGGTCTCCACACATATCAGTTTCTTCTTCTGTCAATTGCAAATGAGGGGACCCACCTCATGTCCTTCCCACAGTTTCTGGGAGAATCAGATGCCACCAAAGGGGAAGAAGTTCCTTGTAGATGTAAACCTCTAAATATAACTTAAATTCATTGCTGTTTGGGGAGTTAATTAGGTTTTTATTTATTTATTTATCTAACTCTAATCGGGGTACTGGGGATTGAACCC